TTTTTAAAAAATGCTGGAAAAGTTGCCTGCGCTTAGATATATACTGGATTCATATATTAATAGACCAAAAATTCTTATTGGTTTTTACTGTGCACTTTTCCTGATTAATTAAGGAGATTAATATAAGCAATGGACTGAATATTAATCTGCTGCTTAAAAAAATGTAGCAGCTACAGATTGCAGTCAATCTAACCGAACTGTATGAATCTAGGACTTTTGTGGCAGTTTTACAAGGCGGTTTATTCTAGTAGTTGAGGTGAATACTCGAAGCTTTAATAAAAGTCCCGCAACAGAAGCTCTCCAACAAAAAATGTTTATGCCATCCAAATAGTTTACGGCGTACTTCTGTTCCCTGAGACTTCAGCGGTAGAGACCAACGTCTATCAGATTTGGCTTAGAGGCAGGGTCAAAAAAATTTATTTTATGGATTCTCCAAATGCCTACAGGAAAGACACACCTCGACAACCTATAAAATTTTCTGGTTATTAAAAGCTCCGGATGGAAATTACTATAACTGACGACAAGTAAATTAGTAGTCAATTTTTAAACTGACGTGATATTTATGACATGCATACTTCCAGGAGTGGCATTTTTTATGATCTTTTTGGGGGGGTCACCAAGTGATATGCTTTTGTCTTTCCTGACGTATATAACCACGTGCACAAGGAAGGCAAAATTTCTCGGATTTAGAACTGGAAAAAAATTGCTTTATAGGAAAAGGAAAAAGTTCCAGAGTTATCAGTTGGATTAAAATGGATGGGAATACCGTTCATCAACAAAGATAAAAGTAATCTGGAAACTTGCCGCCAAGAAGGGATCGTGATGCGAAACAAGAGAGGTGCAAAAACGAAGCAATTACGTCGTCTTCTAAAAATCTTAAATTAGAGACTTCTTCATCCGTTAGAGCTTCTACGCGTTCACGAATGTCTTCAACACTGTCTTCAATCATGATTGCTCTCAGTCTTTCCCAGTTTTTTTCATTTATGTAAATACCTGCTATATAAGCGGCCTGTATAAAAAAGGAGAGGCTAAGCCTGGTTCTTCCAAGTTTTTGAAAATAACTCTGTATAATTAGCCAAATCTAAAAATTACGAAGAGACAACCAATAATCAAACCTGAATAGCACCATTAAGAAGTCCATCCAAGGTATAATTTTTTTCACAACTATTCCGATAAATGAACTGAGCAATTATGTTTCCTGCACGTCGTAAAATGTTGAACGAAGGAACCTCTACTCTTGGCTGTTTAAATAATTCAAACGGTTGCTTGTCTGTAACGCCTATTTGGGAAGCAACCTAGAATCTTGGTTGCCAGTAGAAACAAATAACCAATCGTGAAAACGACGCACTACTTTTTGTATTATGGCTGGGTATTCCTATTCACAACTGGTCAAAACTTTTCATCGTCTTGAACAATCTTGCCGAATAAAACATAAATAAACAAATGGAAAACAAATCTTCCAAAAAAAACTTCAAAATAATAATATTTGTGTTTAAAAAACAGGTAGGTAAAAAAAAA